GCGGGGCACGAAGCGGGGCGGCGCGGCTGGGCGGCATGGAATGGGGGGCCCCAGGGGGCGGCTGCGCACGCGCGGACGCACCTCCCACGGAGCCGGGCGGGCGCGCGGGCGGGGCGTGCCTCCGCCCCGGCCCCGCCCCTCGCGCGCCCGCCCCCGCCTCGCGTTGGCCTCGCGCCCGTTATTCCAGGCCGACCGGCCGCGCCGCTCCGCTTCGTGCCCCGCACAGGCTGCAGCCACGCGCGGGATGGCGGAGCCTCGCTCAGTCCCCATTGCAGCAAGAGGGGCTTTCGCTCACCCTCATAATCCCATTTAGGCTGCACGCATTTCCTACTGGGTTTTTTAACCACCAGACGCATTCCCCAAGCCACAGGCCGAGAAATCCCCCGGGCTCCCCATGCGTCCTCGAAGGGCTTCCGGGAAAGGGAGCTCGCTCCTGGCTGCCCTCTTCGGAAGGAAGCGTCTGCCTTTGTCCCGGGGGCAGCAAATCAATTGAAATAAATAAGTCGGGCACTCCCTCCCAGGACGGAAAATGCCTCGCTCGGCCCCCAAATGAATACATGAAGAATTCTTGCGGTTAATGAGCAACTGCAAAGATTCTGTTGCACGGAGAATTAAAGTCCACAGTGCTTTCATCTACAAAGAATAAAATAAAATGGTGCAGAAGGAAGCTGGCAGAAGTCACATGTCTAAGAGCCTCACATCACACGGGGCACGCTGGGTTGCCAAGTTTTTTGTGACCTTGCTCCTGTGCTATTAACAGCACCTTTTTCTGTGGGCATCAGGATATTTTACCCATATATTCGGGTTAGGGTTGTGTGCCAGGGTAGGGTTAGGGAAACGAGGTGTCCTGGCATGATTCTGATGGTTGGAATGCGTTTAGAAGGGGCAGAAAGGATGAGCTGCGCAGAAAAAGCTACTCGAGGGCTTTTTCAAAATCGCCCTCTTTTCAATGGAATTTAACCCTGTATTAGGGTTAGGGTTAGTCCCATTTCAAATAGGGAGCAGAGCTCTGCGGGCCATGTGCCTTTGAACTCTCTGCACCCCTGGCCCACTTTCCCTTTCTTAAATTCTTCTGGGAAATTACATTCAAACAAATCTGCATCCAGCCAGTTTTCCTAACATGACTGGGGGGGCACATGAAATGAGCATTAGACGGAGGGACTGGAAGGGGCCGTGGATGGCAGAAGGTCTGGCTGGAAAACAGAGGTGGCTCAGGACAGGCTCTGGCCCGTCCAGATGTCCCCACGGGGCCCCCTGTGGCAGGGCGGCCTGGGCCTGCTCAGAAGATGCCTTGCGCTCCTGGACAAAGCAAGCGGCGGGAGAGGCCCGAGGCAGTCCCGCTTCCCCTTGCTTCGTGGTCCGCCTTGCCCCTGGGGTCACCCGCGAGCGGCCTGCCTTCCTCTCCATTTGGGGAGCGCCAGCTCGGGGTGTCACGGGGCCAGCAGCCCAGGCACGGACTCCGGCGCCTGCTGTCGAGTCGTCTTCTCCGGCTGAAGGCACAAGGCAAGGCGCTGCGTGGCCAAGGAGACAGACAGACAGACAGACAGAGTGAGGGAGAGAGTTAAATGGTGGCCGTTCCCACCCCCAAAACACGCAGAGCCCCCTCCCACAAATCCGTGGTCTCCTGGAGTCCACCTCCCTGACCTGCTTCAGAGACCCCGGGGTCCAGACAAGCCGGAGAACCATGTAGACTGGGATGCAGACGAAGGACGAGGCCCCGATGAGGTAGCCCACCACTGCGCTCCACGCTGGGTATCGGTAGCCGAACATCGTGAGCGGCGGCTGCTCCAGCAGGGAGCTGACAATGATGAACTGGCAGGACAGGAGCACGTGCTCGTTCTCGCCGGTCTTTCTCTGTGGGGCCTCAGATACGCTGATGCCGCAGGCATAATACTGCTGTGACGGCCCAGCGATGCCCCGAGTACTCACCACGAGGAACGCCGGGCTGACTGCCACCCAGCACACCTGCCAGTAGACTCCGGGAGAAAACCCCAGCATCGCCTTCACGTCGCTGCAGAACTGTGGCATCCCTGGGGGGGGGGGGGGGAGGGGGGAGGCATCCTCAGGCCCCGTCCGCCGGCACCCGCTCTGCGGGCAGCCCCGTGAGCCCGGGGAGGCCTGCCCGGCGTGAGTCCTCCCTGACTTCCCAGCAAGAGCAGTGCAGGGTAAGGGTCTCTCTGGGGACTCGGGGGGAACTTCGAGACTGTTCCTTGCCTCACCATAAAACCAGGAGACGGCAATGGCTTCCAGGAGCACCACAGCTAAGATGGAGCAGCCGGCGCCGAATTCTTCCAGGAGTTTCACGACATACGAGCCGCCCTAGAAAGGAAGGGTGGGACGGCGTGCGCTTCGGTCGCTTTTCAGATGGGAAACTGGGGGGACGGGAGCGCTCTGCTGACACAACAGCGGCCTGCAGAGCCCCTGCAGTCACGGGAGGTTTGCGGCCTGAGGGAAAGCCTTCCGGGCCCCCCGGCACTTCCAGTGCCAAGTAAGCGGCTCTTAGGTGGAATTCGGGAAAGCTGCCACAGCGGCCCTCCTGCCGGCTGCTTAGGAGGGCGAGCCCAGGAGAGAGGGACCCCTGGAACGGGCTGCCGGTCAGGATCCGCAGATCCCGCCATGGCAGACTTTGAGCAAGGCCCCGCGTGGGTAGCATTTCACTAATACTTGACAAAGAGGGTTTTACTCTGGCCTTCCCCTGATACAGGTTCTCTTAACATCTTAGTTTGCTGTTCTCACGAAATTCGGCAGTTTTAGGATTGCCTCTGCCCGCTGGGGCCACCAAGCGTGAGGCTGTTTGTAAGACGTGCGTTCACGGGGCTGCCCAGTCCTTGCACGGTGGGGTAAAGGGTGGTGGCCCCCCCCCGCCGCCCCCTCGGGCCACTCACGTTCGTCACCGTCGCCAGGGAGCCCAGGAAGCACACGGTGAGGAGTCCCAGCACGAACAGCTCCCGTCGCTCGGCCAGGATGTGGGGGTACTCGTCCATGACAGCCGTGATCACGGCCTCCAAGCCGCCGAACTGCAAGCAAAGCCCCCCGAGTCGTCAGACTAACTGCGCAAAAGCACACCATGCGCGCCTGCGCAGAGACCGCATGGCACACTCAGGCCGTTGAAGGACAGCGCCGTTCTCTGACGCTTCACCGTGTTTGCGGCCTGCTTCAAACTGTTCCTCAAACCCAAATTACATTATTTGGCTGAGAAAATGGCGGGAGACCTGAAACCAAACCTTGTTTGGTGGCACCTCAGAGAGCACCGGCCGGCTATCGCAGCAGCGGCTTTACCGGACTGGCGCCACTGACTCAAAAGCACGAGCCTGAATGGACCTGACACACTGCGCCCATGGCCACGTGTACGAGCAGGAACCTCTTCCTAACGCTCGTGGCCTGTGGCGTAGCCGGCAGTCCAGGATGCCTTCGTACCCCCCGAGGGTCTTCCCGAGGTGCTCTGCACTTTCAGCTGCAGGGGACGAGCACGTGTCTCTGGGTGACAACCGTCGCTTGCGCACGTGCTCAGAATTTGGTACCATTTCCCATTAAATGCGCCTCTCTCTCTCCCTCCCTCCCTGTATGTGCGTGTGCACAAGGAGGACAGCAGCAGATAACAGGCGCACATTTCCTGAGACGTGGGGCTTTCCCCGCTCACGTGAGGAAGCGGTGCGACTCGCCTGGGCTCATGACCGCGGAGGGAAGGAGAGCCGGCCCTACCGTGCTGTCCAGTCCCAGCGTTACCATCATGAGGAAGAAGATGATGGCAAAGAAGGTGGAGCCGGCCATGTTGGCGAGGGCTTCTGGGTAGGTGATGAACAGCAGGCCGGGCCCTGCAAGAGAAAGCCAGCCTGGGTTTTCCCTACCTGGAGCACCTAGCCGAGCACTTCCCTCCACCCTGGGAGGGATGGAGTGGAGAGGGCTGCGTGGAAGAGCAGGAGGGCTTCTCTGCTGAGCCTCTTTCTCCTTCCTGCCTCCTCAAAGCTGTTGAGCACCTCGAGTGTCAAGTGTTTCCTCACTGAAAGGTGGGTGACGCACATGCCGCGTTTCACCAAAGGACACCTGAATGCTTCTAGCCGTGGGGTGGGGAAGACGCTGGCCTCAGACACAGCCGGCCCTGGAGAACGAGGGCCGCCCCTTGCTCTGGGCTGCCCCACAGCGCACCAAGGGCGCCCGCGGCCAGATCCGAGGGGGCCCCGCTGGACCCGCGGTGCGGCGCCCCAGCGTGACGGCTGCGCAGCATGCGGCGCGGGAGCACGGACCTCTGTCCTTTGCGACGTCCTCCACCTCCACGCCCCTCATTTCCGCCATGTAGCCCAGCACGCTGAAAATGACGAACCCGGAGAGGAAGCTGGTCAGGCAGTTGGCCGCACTGGTGACGAGGGCATCCCTGCAGGGCGGGGAGAGCGGGGTGAGCCCCGGGGGCTCTGGCGTGCCTGGCGCTGCTCGTGGGGCGCAGCGGTCCTGCAGCACCCTCTGGCGCGGGATGGCCACGTGCCTTTCGTCGGAAGGTAGTCCTCTCCTGGAAGGGCTGTCCAGGCCCATTCCAGTTCGGAAACAAAGAACGGGAAGCTCAGTTGCCATGGGCCTGGCAGGTGCCCCTGTCACCTGGTCGCACCTGTGCACTGCGCCTGTCCTGCATTTCTGCTTTAACCATCTTTCTCTGCAGCTGGGCAGTTATGCAGCTTTTATGTAAATCGGGGTCCTCTTTTGGCATGGTGAATCCAGCCCCCGCTTTTGGCCACTCACCCAGCTCCGCTCAGCCAGTGCTAGGCTGCGGGGACCGGGGAGGCCCGTTCCGGGTTCATGGTACGAGTGCTCCTCAGGCCCTTACCGGTAGCAGTTGTTGCTGAACGGGTTGTAGCTGGCCAAAGCAAGCAGGACCCCGAAGCCTGGCCCCAGCGAGAAGAAGATCTGGGCTGCGGCATCTACCCAAACCTGGGAGGAGGCAACCGGCGAAGGTGAAGCGCTGCCCTCACAGCAAAGGGAGGCGCTGGGGGCAGGGAGCCCGGTGCCCGGCCAGCGACCTCGCTAAGCGAGTGCCGTTCATTCGAGGATATGGGGCCAGCAACGTCCGTCCCACCAGCGAGGGAGAGGTCTGTGGCCCGGGCCTCTCCGTCTGCTCCGCGGACCAGGGCTGCCCACCTCCCTGGCTCCTCACTGGGGGCAGCAGTGCAAGTGGGGGGGAGGTGGCAGGGGGGGGGAGGGGGATGAATGGCGCAGCTGCCACTCCTGGGTGCCCCCTCCCCACCTGGGCTGCTTTCATGACAATTCATGAGGCCGCCAGCCAGTGGTAATTACAGAGAGGAAGCTGTTGTCAGCTGAGCGAAAGCCGAGCTGCCCAGGAAAGTCCAAAGGAGACAGTAAATGAGATGAGTGATCCAATTAGCGATTTGCATTTCCAAGGGCTCCCGCTCCCATTTCTCTTTCCCGACTGGATAATGAACCCTCCCTCCCCACTGCCTCGTCTGATCTTCAGGGCAGCGCCTGCTGGGCGAAGGGAGAGCTCACCGAAGTGAAATGACTCATGGGGGGGGGGATTTGGGAGGCGGAAAAAATGACACGCTAAAAGTAGCCATCCTCAATCTGGTGCCCCCCAGATGTGGTGGACTACAAGTTCCATCATGCTGGCGGAAGGTGCTGGCACTGCCTGCCGCCCTCTTTGGCAGGGCGCCTTCCAAGGGCTGGGCTGCCCCACACGGGCTCTGCACCGCTCTGCCTGCACCGCCGACCCTCCACCACGAGCCTCCTGGGCTCCTTGCCCCTGGGGCGCCGTCCCGCCTTTGGGTGGGAGCGAAGGGCGAGCGCCACGGTGGGGCCCCCCCGGAAAGGCAAGCGGAACTGGCGACGTGAGGCGTGAGCAGTCCGATGCCGCCAGCGCGGAGCCTCGGGCAGGCCCTCGAAGCGGTCGCCACATAAGCGCGGGGCCCAGCGGGGGCAGCCGTCCGTCCGGGGCCCCAGCAGCCCCTGGTCATGTGCCCCAAGGTGGGAGGGCACAGGCAGCCCTGAATGCCGCTGAGGTGGGTGGAGGGAACGCCAGGGCTCCCGGCACCGGCAGGCCACGGTGGGCAGCCGGGGGCGCTTGCACGACGGCTCTGAGACCATCTGGGCAAGGAGAATGGGGGATTTGGGTGGCGGTGGCCTCAAGCCACACCCCGTGCGCCTGCCGAGCGTCCGCCCACCAAACCAAGGGCTGCATTCTGCACGGGGCCAGGCCGCTGAACTGCTCGGAAATTCCCGTTGCTACTTCTGGGGGAGAGGAATGCCCAGCCCCTGAAAGACGCCCAGAGCACCGTGGCGACGGTGGTGCCGCCCGCGAAGGACTGCCAGAGCGGCCCCCCACCCCGGACCCTGTGCGGCTTGCGGCCTCTTTCAGCGGGGCTCCAGCTGGATTTTGGCCAAGGCGAGGCACCTGCCCACACACCAACGCGGGCCCCGCCGGGCGCATGTGCAGGCGCGCATGCGTGCGTGTCGCTGGCTTACGGCCGTGCTCGTCAGCTTCTCCCAGTTCGGCTGCAGGTAGAAGACGATCCCCCTCCAGGCCCCGGGCAGGGTCACTCCACGGACCAGCAGGATCAGCAGGACGACGTAGGGCAGGGTGGCCGTCACCCACACCACCTGGGGGGAGGAGGCGGCCCACGTGGTTTGGAAAAGGAAGTGGCCCAGACGAGCCGGGTGGCCGGCCGACTCCCCCTCGGGTGGCCAGCTGCCTGCCCCCCAGCCTCAGCTGAGTCGGGTTCTAGTATTCCCGCTGCCGTTCCCCTGGATGCGTTGCTCCCCTTCCTTGCACCCGCACCACTGCAGCGTTCCTACCGACTTCCACAGAGCTGGGATTTCCCGGAGGACACCCCCCCCCCCGGCAGAGTGCTCTGCGCTTGGTCCCTGCTAATGCGACGGCATACCAAGCGGGCACCAGAAATGATCTGTCGGTGTGAGTCCCCCATTTCGCACGGCCAGAGTTCAAGGTGTAAAACTAACTGCATAACCGGATCCACCAAATGCTCGCTGGAGAGAGAATTTCTCCCAAAGAGCAGCCGAAAGTCCCGGAAGTCCGGCGTGGCGAGGGGGTGTCCTGGGGGAGTGCGTGGCCCCCCACGCTACTTCCCTTCTCTGCCCCCAGCACCTGTTGCTGCCGGCAGCTGCTCAGGCACCGCGGGCAGGGATGAGAGCCACCGTGGGGGGCCACGCACTCCCCCAGGACACCCCCTCGCCACGCCGGGATGCCGCCCGTGAGCCCTCACCTTGCCAGAGGTCTTCACCCCCTTCCAGAGGCTGAAATAGACGATGGTGAAGATGAGGATGAGGCAGAGCAGCAGCTGCCAGCGGATGCCACCCACACTGTCCAGGCCGCGCGAGTCCTGCAGCCCGAGAACCTTCCTCCTGCGGCAGAGAGAGGCCCGGGATCGGTGGGCGCACGTGCCGCCAGCGGGATCCGAGCTCTGGCAGGCCGCCCCGTGACGGGGCCTCCTTGGCAGGCTGGCTTTGGGGCTGCAGTAGCGCCATTTTGGCCCGCGGAAACACCTGGGCTTGCTTACTGCAGAGGGGGCTCTGCCAGGATCCCGGGAGGTACAAGACAAGCTCTGTTCTCCTGACCCTTTGATAGGCATAATGGGAAGGGTAACGTGGCTTTGATATATTATTGTGTTTTCATAGGATTTCTCTTATCGCCGACAACTGCAGGGAGGGAAGGAGGGTGTTCTGGCAGAATCTGCCAGTTCCGACACGAACTCAAAGATGCAGGCGGTCAAAACAAGCTGTACTGAGCGTCTTTGGTAAAAGCAAGCCGAACTCTGTAACGAGGCCCCGCTGCTCTGCCTTTGGCGGAGGCCCGAGTGGGGCCTGCTCCCCATCGGTTCGCTCTTTCTGGCGCCGTGCCACTTACATGTAGAACTCTTCGGCGGGGGACGAGGAGGAGGGCGTCCAGGTGGCGTTGCTCCTCCCGAAGTAGCTGGTGCAGTTGGGGGTGTTCCAGGGGTTGCCGCAGCTGGTCCAGGGCAGGGCGAGGGCGAGGGAGGAGTACAGGTAGTAGAGGGCCCAGGCCAGGATGGTGTTGTAGTAGAAGGAGACGTACAGGCCGATGACGCAGGTGGCAAAGCCGACACCTGCGGGAGAGCAAGGAGCAAGGTGGCGCCCGCGGGGCCCGGGCCCCCGCCCCGCCTGCCTGCCTGCCTGCCTGCCGCCCCCGCCAAGCGCTTCGCTCCGGGGCTGCAGGCGCCACTGGCCCTGGAACCGGCGTGGGCGCCTGACGAGCCCGGGGCGGCCGTTTCAGAGCCCAGTGCGCTGACTGGAAAGCGTGCTCTGCCCCGAGAGCTGCCCCGCTCAAACATGCAGGATCTTTCCGCAGCCCTCCAAATCCTTTGGACTACAATTCCCAGCAGTCTCAAAACTTGACCCAAGGAAATGAGAGCTGACGTCCAAAACAGCCGGCAGGGACCAGACTGGGAAAGGGGGGCATGCTGGAGTAAAGGGCACGGGTTTGCGGTTGCAGTGCGACACTTCCAGGAACGCGTTTGCACCTTCCTCAAGGAACCACTGGACTGGCAGAACTCACCTCTGACCACTGGAAGCCGAACGTCTTAAATTTGCAGACGGTGTACCTAGGCACACATACCTGCTCTTTGTTTTTTTAGGGAAAGTACACTCAGTTACACACCGGCCCACTTTCTTTACCTTTAAAAATAGGACAGATATGTTTCCAGATGGGAATGGCCCCAACCCGATGAAATTGCCCGAGGGCCAGTTCCATGTAGAAGAGGGGCACCCCTCCGAAGACGGCCATCAGGGTGTACGGGATCAGGAAGGCTCCTGCGAAGGGGAAGGAGTGCGTGAGTGCACAGCGTCGTCCCATACACACCTGAGACAGGTGGGCAAGTATCCGTGTGCTTGTGTCGCAGGATCCCCTGCCTTGCCGCCGGGTGGGCTGTGAATCTGGGGCTGAGGCATGAAGGGCAGGCCGGAGCTCCTCCTGCCAAGCCCCTCCAGCCAAGCACAGTGAGACCTTGCCACGGTCTTCGGAATCACATTTCTATGTAGCCCGGCGAGTGAAACCCTCTGGCCAGTTTGCGAAAGGTAAAATCATAAAAGCCAAAACAATGAAGCATCTTAGACACACATGCAGGAAACCCTTTACTATTTTAAAACAGAATGAAGCCAAAATAAATTACCCCCAGACTTCCAGCTCTGGCTTTATTCTCATTATGCCTGGCCCGGGGCTTGGCTCACTTGCTCAAGGAGGGTTCAGCACCTGCCTAAGTGCTTTCAAAATTCCCAGGGCCACAATTTGCTACCTTTGAACAAATGCGTAATCATTCCTGCCGGCAGCGGGGCTAAGAGCCTTTCTTGCTTTGATGGGCCAGACCAGCAGCGCAAAGGCGGTCCCAGTCCGGTCCCTCTCTGTTTGTCTGCCTTTTCCCTCCTGTTCCCCTTCAGCTTGTTTGACTGTAGTTTAAGGAGCATTTCTACTATTATTTGTATGCCCCAGCTGTGTTAGAAGACTGAGGATCTGGAAACACATTTAAGGGAAAAAAGACAAAGAAATACATGGCGTTACAGTAGGGTAGGGAAAAATATGATAATATGATAACACCTTAATTAGGATCAAAATGACACAAAGGTTCAAGCAAATTTGCCTATTACTACAGGATGTTTTGGTTGGTCCTAAGACAGCCATGACTGTGCTGTAGTTTTTGGATTATTTTTCTAATGGACCTGCATTTTTTGAGCCCAGCAACCCAGAATGTGGATACCATGGACAGCTCCCCCATCAGGGTCTTGTTTTGAGAAGCCCTCCCAGGATTGGTGTGCCTGTTACCTTGGCCTGTGCAATGGCCTGATGTCTTTAGCGACTTCCAGAATTTGGAGCGGTGCCCTTGCACTGGCCAGTGTCTTCCAGTGCTCAGGGCAGAGCCGCAAATTTAGCAAGGAGAGGAACTGCCCTGCCTGCGTTTCAGGTCTGAATATTCCTACTTGTTTGGGCCATTCCTTCCACACGCAGAAATCCAAATTCTGATCCAGTCAGGATTCAAACTGATGAGAGCAGAAGGTGAAAAACAGGGAAAGGAAAAGGGGGGAAACCAGAAGGAATCCTGCAAAAGTTTTGCCCAGCCCAGCCTCAAACAGAACACGTCGAAAAGCAGCAAGAGAAATAATGAGCTCTGGGGGCTAATCTGGAGAAAACATGCAACAGCTTACAAGGAGGGAGAAAATGAAATAAAATAAAATAAATAAAGCAGTAATCTCCTTACCTCCCCCATTCTGATAGCAGACGTAAGGAAACCGCCAGACGTTCCCCAGGTCCACAGCAAACCCAATCACTGACAGAAGGAAGTCCACCTTCTTGCTCCACTGGTCCCTGGCGCCTGTCCGGGGGCTCGGGTTTGCCTGCGCAGCTGGCCTGGGTGGCCGCACTGCTGGAGCGGCAGCCATCCCGCCTCCCGCCAGCCCCCGAAGGATTGCAGCTGAAGAGGGGGAGAGGGGAAGGCAGACCCCGGCAGGGGAGGGCCAGGAGGAACGGGCACCCCCACCGGCAGCCGCCGCCTCCGGGAGAGGTCTGCCTGGCATCAAAGGGAGGAGGAGGTGCCGAGGGAGGCTGGTCTGCGGCCGCGAGAGCTCAGGTAGCCCAGGAGCAAAGCCCGCCTCGCCTCTGCCACAGACGCACGCGAGGGCCTTGGGCAGCATTCCCCAACCTGGTGCCCTCCAGGAGTGGCAGACTGCAACCCCTGGCATCCGTGGCTGGCAGGGGACGGCCAGGATTTAGAGCCCAGCTCATCTGAGAGCACCAGCCTGGAGAGCCCTGGCTGGTGGGGAGCCGTGTCCGGGCACTGCGCACTGGGCCTGGGAGCTGGCCGGAGGGAGCAGGTCGGAGGGGGCTGCAACCCCAGAGCGGCCTTAGAGGGACAAGTTTAAGCATGGTTTAGAAAAGGTGGGCCGCCCTCTCCCCTCTCCTCATCCCAGAAGCAAAAGGGCTCAGCCGTGCAGCCGGGTGGTGGGGGGTTCAGGCAGGTCAAAGGAAGGACCACTTCACGCCGGCAGTCAGATTACGGAATGCGGCCCCCAGAAACCTCCCCGATGGGGGATTCTGCCCTCGGATGGAAAGGGCTCTGCAGCCGCTACAGCCGCTTACAAGGCAGCGCGCAGAGCATGGCTCGGCAGGCATTTGCCTCCCTCTGCCCGTGAAGCAGCATGGGGGGGACCCAGGGGAGAGCGGGGCCTCTTCACACCCCAGGCACAGGCAAGCTGCCGGACTGGCTGAACCCAGAGGGCGGGGAGGGTCGTCGGCTGTCGAAGGTCCTTGGGTGAAGGTACGGGGAAGAGGCCAACCCGCAGGAACGCCTGTGCGCAGCCCAAGGATACCCGAGCCCCCGCTGATGCCAGGGAGGGACTGCCCTCGGGTTCTCGAGGCATCCGCCTGGTCACTGAGCAGCAGGACGCTGGGTGAGCCGGCCCTTCTCGGAGCAGCCCCACGACTGAACGGTTCTTCCCGGAAAAGAGGCCCGGATGCCGGAGGGGGAGCAGGGCTGCGTGAGGCTGGTGCAGGGACTCGGCTGCTGGCTGGCAGGCCGAGCAAGGCGGCCCTGCCCGGGTGTCAGAAGCGGCACTGTGAGGGGGCCCGTCCTCCTCGCGGAGTGATGTGGACTGACGGACCTGGCCAAGCGGGCGTCCATTTGCCTTTAGGGGACCCAGGGCAAGGGGAGGACAGCTGCTTCTCTTTTGCCCTGGGGCTTCTCCGGCAATTCCTGTGGTGTCTGCAACCCATCATGTGCGCGGGGACTGAGGGAGAGCTGGTGGTGGAAGCCACGCGCTCTGCCTTCCAAATCTCGCCTTGGCCCTGGCAGTTGCCTGAAACATCTGGTGGCACCAGGCTGGGGCAACTGTGGCATTTAATTCAAAGCATGCAAGTTTTCAATCTTTATGGTGTTTTTCTTCTTGCCAAGGTACGCGCACCAACATTTCCACCTGAGGACAACAACTTGTGCATCTCACCAACCATCTCCCATAACAGAAGTGTTAGCCTTTTGGTGCCACAAGACTTCCTGCTTTTGCTGCAACCAAGTCAGGGCCGAATCAAAGGTGCAGAGGTTGTGTTGTGGTGGACGGGCCTGGGGGGACGGACTTCAAAAGCCAGGACAAACAGGTAAGGGAGCTGCCAAGGGAAACGCTCCCACGTTGGCCTCAAGGTGGCCGCCCCGTCAGAGCGGGGGAAAAGCGGCTTCTCACG